TCATATTTAAATTATTTAATTATATCTAGATTATTTAGTTACGTCTAGACTATTTAGTTATATTTAAATGATTTAGTCATATTTAAATTATTTAGTTATATCTAGATTATTTAGTTATATTTAAACTATTTAATCGTCATATCTAGGTTATTTTAATACTAAATAACCTATTCTAAGCCGTTTATGACTAAATAATATAATTATATTATTTAGTCATAAACGGCTATATATTTATATCTACTTATATAAATATAATTCATAAGTTTATTAATATGAAATAATATATATATTTCTAAGAATTATAATTTGCATTTTAGATAGTAATTTTTATAGTAATACAAGTCTAACTAATCTGTTAGATCAAAAACTTCAAATTTTATAGTATAATAAGAATTTTGTATTTTTAATATTTTGAAACATGTTTATAATTTATATATATTTTTTAATTTTTTCATACTGTATTCCTCCAAAAATAAGCATCGCGTGATATATATAAATTTATTAGTATATACGTGACAAATAATATAATAAATTCTATGTGATAAATAAATAAATTACTATAAAAGGAACGTGTTACAGGATGCTTATTTTCGGGAATATATGATAATATTTTTAATTAAATTTTTAAATTGTTTGTAATTTAATATAAAAATTAATTAATTGACAAAAAAGAAGAAATAGCTATAAAAAAAAACTAATATAATATGATTTATTTACTAATGATAAGAATTACTTTATGATAATGTAAATAAAAGAATAAATATTTAGTATTATTAGCAAATATGACAAAAAGATAAGAATTTAAACTATATTATTTTTATAGTGCTTTATAATTTTTATAAGAGTATATTAGATAAGTAAATATTAAGATAAATAAGTTTATCTTTATTTATATCAAATTGACTAAGATTTGAAAATGTATCAAATTTATTTAGTAAAATAAGAAAGTAAACTAGCTTTCTCTAATATATAATAAAAATCAATAACATGATCAAATATAGGTTTTAATAAAATGATTAAAATTATAAAATTTTTCTACAAGATAAAATAAGTAATGAAATTAAAAATTATGATGATCAAACAATTCATAATAAAATGAAAATAAAAATTAATTTATTTGATAATTCTATGAATTTTTTCATATCAATGATAATTTAAAAGTAACAAAAGGTTAATTAATAAAAAAAATTATATTTATGTAAAATCTAAAAATAATAAATTAGAAATAGATTTAAATAAAAGATCTTCAAAAATAATTTTAAATAAAGAAATTTTGAATTATTTTAGATGATCTTATTTTATTTTTTAAATATTTATCAAATATTTATTTTAATCTATATAGAACTTTAAAAAATGTATAAATTTTTGTTTAAGTAAAGTCTAACTTAATAAATAATACTAAATTAATAGTTTTAACTTATAATTCAATTTAACTCAGATCATAAATCTAAATGAATTAAATATTTAAGAAATCGAATATCAACATTATATATTAATAATATAAAATAAAATTAAATAGTTTTATTTAATAATACAATTATTCTAATATTCCAATATAATAATAAATTTTAATTATTATATCACTAATTACCAATTTATTTATTTATTATTTATTTGAGATTTTATTATATAGCAATTACAGTAAAATTTTTATATTGATATTAATCAATATAATATAATAATATTAGTTTTAAAATTTTTATAAATACTATAATATAAAAATATAAAATTTATATATTTTTTTATTATTATTATATTAAATACTATAAAGTAAAAATTTTAAGATAAAAGAGTATGATGAAAAAAAATAAAGTAAAAAATTTTATATAAATAAAGTTTAACCAATTTAATTTACATTTAATTCAAAATGTAAAAATTATGTTAAATAATAAATTATTAATAAATTGAAATTATAAAACTCTATCTATTAAATACATTGGATTTTTTTTTTTATTTAATCAAATTACTAATATTATAAAAGATTTCTATCAACAAAATAGATTCCTTCTTGAGCGATCCATTCGGTATCTTGACCTAATCTTTTGCTAGCAGAAACTTCAATTTGTCCATGAATAGGTTTATTATATATATATTCTTTATTAGCTGATAAATATGAAGAGGTTTCTAAATGCATAAATTGAACTTTTTGTTCTCTTAACCAATATATTGAAGATTTATTTAAACAGGTTAATTTCCAATTATCTCCTATAAAATATTTCAATTTAAAAGTAAATTTTATTAATTGAACATCTTTTCTTTTTTTTTTATAAAATAAAATGTATAGATTTAAATCACCTGTATCAAATCCTTCAAATGCGCTAACTTCTTGTTGTTGTGATATTGGCGAATGGTGATAATGACTGTGTAAAAATTTACCAGTACCTGAATGCTGTAACCTGATAATTGACCCGCATTTAATTGGTTCTCTAAGAAAATGATCATTTAAATAAGAAATGTGTATATAGATAAAAAGACATTTATAAGAAGTATGTATCATTTCCAACATTACCCTCTTAGACATGATGCACCATGAGCTCCTTTTACAATCCAAAGTGAATCTGGATCGTCGGCATTTAGAAGTCCCGTAACACTTTGTTGTCCTGATCCACTACCTAAAAAATAATTATAAGAATTCATTATATTTCTTAAACAAATTTTTTTTTGATTTGTAATTACCATATGCTATAGCATGCGAATGTAATTTATAATTAGAGGGGCTATGTGTCATTTTGACTGCAGAACCACATGTAACTATAATTAAGGTTAATATCGTTAATAAATCAAATTTAAGATATTGAAAAAAAAAATCTCGAATAATTAATTACCTTTTTCGAATTCTGATAAAATTCATAATTATAAATGATAAAATTAACAAATTTTTGTTGTAAAAACATTAACGCGTTAAATTAAAGAATTTTAATCCCAAGATACGAAACCTTCTTCAATTTCCATAAATTGACTATTTGTCATAACTAATAATATTACTAGGAAGATTGTTGATATACCGAAAATTATCTTGAACAACATTTTTTAAAAATTAATTTAATTAATGATTTTGTATTCTATGAATTCTTAGAATCCAAACAAACTATCAAACTAGCTGTTCAGAAACTAACTGTATGTGAAAAATATAAAAATATCGAAGTTAAAAAATTTTCTACTTTTACTACTTTTAGATACTTGGCCGATTGCGATTGGTCAATTGAAAAATTAGATTTTATTGGATGACAATTTATGTCGTACAAGTATCACATATTTATTTAATAATCTCTTCCCAAAATAACTTTACATTAATTATTTAATTTTTTTAAAGAAAATTCTAATTCTGTCCATAAATTTTTTTGTCTTCTTTCTTTCTCTTTTGAAATGTATTATTCTTAATTAAAAAAAAATTATTTTTTGCATAAATTAAAATATTTAAAATATCATAAAATATTTAGGATGTGTGAAAAAAAAAAATCTTATGACAATCGTAATAACGACCGAATTTACATAATGTAACAAGCATATTTGTTAGTACTAAATTGACATCTTGCTAGCATATCCATTTCCTCTTTAGCTGCTTCTTTATCAACCTCTGCTTGTTTGGCTTTAACTTCTTTTGGGAAATATAGTTTTAAAAAATTCCGTAAAGGCTTATCTAAATTGCCTTTATTAATTTCAATTAGAATATATTGTACTGTACAAGGTTATAAACTTTTATCGCGCCATAAATCATTGAACTTACTTGCGTTTGCATTATAAATAGAATCTCTGGATCGACAAATTGGACAATTGCGCATTCCTTTACGTTCAGCTTTAATAAGACAATTTATACAAAATACGTGTCCACAACTTAATCGAATTGGTTTCCAATAAATTACTATATTATTGTGAGAAAAGTCGTAAGAAAAAAAAAATTTGTTTCCGCTTGGTATATTCAAGTTACAAGCAAAAAAAAATCTTACAAGTGCAAATCGGACAAGTATGATCTTCAGGTTGTGGAATAACTGTCGATAATTGATTCTATAAAATTGGAGGTTATAAGTAATTGGATTTTAGGAAAAGCAAATAAACGAATAAAAAACACTTACATTCATTGTAAAACACAGAGATTTAAACATATTTTTGATAATATATGGATCGTTCTCCAATAACTTTTCAAAGCTAGGACTGGCACTATGAATTTAATTATATCCAAAGCAATATGATTAAAGAGTCTTGGTGAACTTCATTCATTTTCCGAATATATTTTACTTTCGATGTAGTGAAAATGGGCATACGTACGCTAAACACGTTTGTTTATCGTGTTTTTTAAGGATCTTAGACATGGCGGTTTCGTTGAGAGATTGAAAATGTTTCATAGCGATCAAATCATTATTTATCTATCAAAGATTTAATAAATGATAAGTATGTTTGGCGCGCCACTTATGCTAAACTAATTATTTGTAATTTAAACCTACTCTTAAAAATTCGTGAAAGGCTTCTCGTGAGGAATTTAATTTGAATTTACTAGTCTAAAAGCATTTTCGATATAAGAATTTGTTATGAAAAATAATATAATAAATGTATCAAGTATGATTATAATTACCAATTCAGTTCTAAACAATTCGTCGACAAACCATTTGAATTGATCTTGAGCGTTTTTGCAGCTACGTTCATTACGATCTGATTCAGTGTTCCCAACAAAAATTTCTGCCTGAAAATAAAATTGGAAAACTTTGCGCCATGTATATATATCGCTCTTGTATGGGGAAGTCTTTATGAAACAGATAAACATATTCTTAGCCTAGATAGTTGTGATTAGTTGACGAGAAAAACGAAACTTACCACATTGATCAACAGTTCACGCAATCGATCCATATTATTTACAAATTCATCTTGTTTTTGTTGCTGTAGGTGTTTAAATTGCGAGATTTCTTCTAATAGCGTATTGAAAAATTCGCCATCGGTTTCAAGTTTAATATACGTTATTCTAAAAAGCAACCAACATTAACTTAAAAATTCGACACAAAGAAATATATAAATAAAATAAGATATTACCTGCGCGATTGATCAATTGATTCGGGATGTGGACTAATGGAATCGCTAGAAATGACGTCCGTAACGTAATCATGTGGGTCAGAATTAGTTTCCGTATCATTTGAATCGGTTGTGCGCAAGGAAAGTAATGACGACACGGAACCAGAATCACATGTTGTGAACTCGGTGTGAGTGGTTTCGAGAATATGTTGAATATCAGGAGAATGTTCATGAGCATCCAAGTTTAGAATAATATAGGGTCGAATTTGAATTGGATTGGCTATATAAAAATTAAATAATTGTAAAAAAAAAAAAAAAAAAAAAAAAAAAAAAAAAAAAAAGGAAAAAAAAAACAAAAAAAAGAAAAAAATTAATATAATTTCTCTTCACCTTCAAAGGAGTATTCCATTTTGTACCCTTCCGCAGCATCCAGCATGGTTTTGAGAACGTTTCGAGAAATTCCTTTATCGTTTAGTTCTTGAACGATTTTATGAATACATCTCTTTAACGTTTTGTACTGAATGACGAAAGGTCTCCATTCGGAAGGAATGTCCTCAATAGTTCGTCCTAAACTCTTGCCGAATTTCATTATTAAAGAATAAGGATGTTTGGTTGTGGTAAAATGAAATGAGATTTAAAATATTGGATGCGAATTAGGAATTTTTGTCTACGAGAAAAAGAAAGTTTAATGAATGGGGTTTTTTAAATGTGAAATTTTTTTTTTCGAAAAAGACAAAATTGGAAGGATCGGTCACAATGCAAGTTATTGAAAAAAAAATTTTTTTTTTCTGATATAATAAAGCCGCTTGATTATTATTCTTTTAGGATTCAAAGATTAACCATAAATGGCTCATCAGCTTATAATTGTTCTAATAACCCAATTCGAATTGTGAGAAATTTTCGAAAATGGAAGTCTCGAGACCTCACATGACTGCCTTTTGCGGCATTGAGGAACCGTGGCGCTTTAATTATAATAATTATAAATAATTATGTCGATTTATTCTGAATTTATATTTTATCAATGGGTGAGATAAATTTCAAACTTTGACTCATAAAAAATGAAAGAATTATAATGTAACCTTTTATTATTATTTATTTTGATTTTCGAGTAATCAAAATAAAAGTCTTTGATGATTTCATTTCTTTCATTAGTTATCCATTTCAACCTTGAAGGTTGTGCAAAAAAAAAATTTTTTAAATCATTCAGTTCATTCGTTATAAAAGTTACCAATCGCTAGGACCCATGAATTTTTAATTCATACAGATTTGTTTGTATTTATTTTATTGTATTTTTATATTTTATATAAATTAAATTAAACAATTCATCAAAGATCCACGTAAAAACCATATATTTAATTTATATGCCGAATGCCCGAGTTGAAAAATATATTACATATGATAATTATGCATGCTATGGGAACATTTATGTTTTTTCTACATATTGGCAAAAATTCTAGTCGTATAAAAAAGCGAATAAATGTTTCACAGCTAACCAAAATGCACTGCGGCACATGTCACATGAATAGCGTATTTATCGTTTCTTTCTAAAATAAAATCAAAAAAAAGTAATATACGCCCCAAATGAAGATCATAGATAATCTACGATTTCTACAGATCGATCTGATGCTGAATTTTCTAACGCAAGAAATGATTCTGATCACAAACCACAAGCTAAAGGAACTTTCAGTGAAAATTCACCAACTATTTAACAATCTATATTATCGGGCATGATTATCTATAACCGCAACATTGTGCCCCATAAACTTCAACTCCGGAATTTGTGCAGGCCATGGAATATTTGTACTTCTCGCATGGTTTGCAGGCATTTTCTTCTCATTTTCACAAAGTTTCTATAAAATATAGTAATATATATATAAGGATATATTGATGCGGATTAATTGAATCGATCATTAATATACTGTATATAAATAGTCAATTACTATATATAAAACAATCAATTAGTGCATATAGTGAATTCAACAGCCCCATCAAGCAAAGCCCGGAGAAAAATTCCCCGAGCACCATTAATATCTCTATCATAACTATTCCACATTTATTACATTTAAACAATTTGTTGCCACCCAGGTTATATTTAATAAATCCATAACAACTGCATAAAAGCAAGTAGAAATTAAAAATGATGAAAAAATGAAAATAAAAGTGAAAAAGAAAATAAACACTTGTATATGCTTCATTTTGAATGATGACCTCTTTTCAGCCTTGAAAACAAGATGATTACGAAATCGACTGTGAGCCCAGGTAAGCATTTTGCGAACTGTTTTTGAATTGATTTTTTTATTAAGACGATGAGATCCATCAAAAGGGGGTATAATAATAACATCAAAGTTTAAAAGAAACCACAAGGCAACTTCCTTATGACATTCATTAATAAAATTTGGATGTGAAGCCGTAAACAGGCCTGAACTCTTTTTATTGAATATCTCTTTTTAGGAGGAGCACAAGTAGTTCTACAAATATAAATAATTTAAGTATTTTATAAAAGAATAAAATATATATAAAAATAATATAATGAAAAATAAGATCATTCAAAAATAAAGACAAACGGATTATACAATTAATATCTATGTTACCAAACCAATCACATTCTTTGGATGGAAAATACTAAGACCAACCAGTACAATACCAGGATCAATAGCAACAATATTGAGGTTTTTAGTGATTTGAATATCATCACAATTTTCAACATTATAAAATAAAAGATAAATTAATAGTAGTTATTTTAAAAAACCTATAGAAAAAAGTCAAACATACTATATACCCAAACAAAAGTTTAATAATTTAATTTTTTTTAAACATTAACTTTGAATTCCTTAAAACCTTTCCTTTTAATTTTGGTTATTTATGATTTTTTGACAATGTTTATGAAAAAAAAAGAGGATTTTTGTCTTTATAATAATTTATTGATTTAATAATTTTTTATTATAAAGCAGATGGATATAGAATTTAAATGATTTACAATAATATTAAGAATGAATAATTATTTATTAATTATCCTATTTTAATAAAAAATAATAAAAAATATTATTAATGATAATGTATTATATTTATATAACTATCAAATATTTTTTATACTATACTTTTTTTGAAAATGAAAATAATGTTTTTTATTATTAATTTCATTATTTTGACAGATAACTTCATCTTAGATTTAAATTACATGTATAATAAATAGTATAGTCAAATACTTTATATAAGTAGTTTTTATAAAATTTTATTCAAAAATATGTGAAATTTTAAATTTAAAAAAGATTGAAACTAAAATTAATAAGTTAATAAATGATTATAGTTGAAATTTGTGATAATCATATTATAAATAATCATATATAATATATAAAATTAAAATTACAATATTTTTAAATAAAAATAAAATACCTAACTCATTCATTGTTTTAACAGGTAAATTCTAATCTTTAGAGATCAAATTAAATTGATTTTTTTTTAACATTTTGAGTAGCAAATTGATTTTAATTACTTTTTGTATTTTCTGTTATTATTTTTTTCATTTTTATTAATATCAATATAATATATATTAGTTTGTCAATATTAAATAAATAAAAATAAATAAATAAATTTTAAATAAACCTAGCTAATTATTTTCCTTTAGTAATAAGGATATCTTAATAGAGTTTAATTTTATCATTAGAAAAATTATTTTGTAAAAAACTAAGAGTCTTATATCATTGAATTTAAAAATATATTTGATAAGATCATATGCAAATTAATATAATCAGTTTTTATAAGAATTATAATTTTTGTAATTATTTTATGATTTATTATTTTAGTATAATTTATAAGTAGAATCTTTTAAAGTTGATTCTACTTTTAATGTTTAAGATAAGTTTATATTGAGAATACTATTATTACCTTTAAAAATTTTCTTTTATTTTATACTTAAAATTTATATATAAATATAATTTTTTTATATGATAAAAGAGATAAAGAAAAAGAAAGATAAAGTAATGATGATAATAATTGCATCATTGAATAAGAAATAAAAGCATAACTATCTAATATAGGCATTTAATCTCTATATATAATAAAAGAATAATTTAAAGATTGTGAAAATAATGATATTAATTATTAATCAGATAAAGAAAAAAAATCTAGATCTATAAATCTAAATAAATATAACTTTGCTGATTAAAATTTAAAATTGTAAAAGGTATTGTCTTAAAGTTTGTTTTCAAATAATTATAAAGATAGTTTCATATTTAATAAGTAATTCTATTAAAAGGTTTTACATTTATATCTTATAAATAGAATAAAAATTATTACTTTTTTTAGACTTAATAATTTTTTTATTCTTACTATAATAATTATAATTTATTACTATTATAAAACTATTTGATTTCATAATTTTTTATAATATATTCATTATTTCTTATATATTAACATAAAAAATCATTATGTATTAAAATTAAATTCAAAAATAAATCTAAGAGATAAAGATCAAGAATTCATTTCTTAAATTCTTTCAAATTAATAAAAAAGAAAAATTATTTTTAAAAGACTTATTATTCAAGAAAAATGTAATTAACAAGATTTTAAATTATTAATTGTTATCAAATTTGATTATTAAATTTCATAAATTTTAGATATAATATTAATACAGTATATTTTAGTTTTATTATTAGTAAAATTTTGATTTATTAAATATCAGTGTAATTAAAGATTTTTTCTTTTTATTTTTTATTTTTTTAAAAGAAAAAAACTAAGAAAAATAATTAATGAATTTAATAAAGAATTAGCTTCTTTTTAATTTGTATTAAATAAATAAAAAAATATTACAATAATAAACAATTATAAAAATTATTTGAATAAAAAGTTTTTTGAATAAATGTAATTTTTAATTTGTATTAAATAAATAAAAAATATTACAATAATAAACAATTATAAAAATTATTTGAATAAAAAAGTTTTTTGAATAAATGTAATTAAATTAAAGTCCCTATATTAGTTAATATAATTAATAAAATTAATAATAATAAAAATAATAAGAAATAAAAAAAAATATAAAGGTTATTAAGATATAATTTGTAAAATTGTAAAAGTAAAGTTCTTAGTAAAAATTAATTGTTAGTTTAATTTTTAAGGATATTAATTATAATTTACTATATTTTAACATTAATAATAAAAATTAATTATAATAATATAGTAATTGTAATCAAATATATGATTTATTAATATTAATAAAATTTTCTCTTATAATAATATTATAATTTTTATATAAATCAATTTTAATTTTATTTAATAATAATTTACTTTTTTATTATTATTATAATAAAATAATTAAAAGTTTTGTAATTTGAAACAGGGTTTCTTATTATATAGATTTGATATTTTAATATCAAAGTTCTGTAATTATTAGTATAAGAATATGAAAATTAGCTAAATTTTGAAGTACAAATTTTAAATAATAATAATTTATCTTTTTATACAGATTTACAATAAAAATTACTTTCAAGTATAAACTTATAATAAATTTTTACTTTTGTATACAGATTTACTTTAGAATTATAGGGTTCAATATATAAAAATTCATATTAAAAATGTTTGATATACTTTTTA